TTCAATCCACTCATTCAATTGACTTTACATAAAACCACAATTCAATACTTCAGAAATGACAATAGTGATCATTAAATCATTCAGGTGATGTTGAATTGCTCCCACTAGCAGAAGAGCAGCCCATACCTTTGCAGTGAGTTTGTACAGTCAGATCTAAACGTGGTCCAGCTGGAAGCAGCAAGACGATGGAGGCCCCTCCCGAGTGTTGGTACTGTATTGTCTGTGGGAGGCCTGATCACACCGGGAGGTTTGGGGGGAGTCTGTTTCTGGTTCTGCCACCACCTCCAAAAAACCTTGGGTAAAAGCTAAAAACTAAGGTTCATTTTCCTATTTGGACATTAGCAAGCTCCTGTCCTACAGCCCTTGCGATGAGGTCAGTGTTCATTTAATGATTTGAGGTTGATACTAATAGGAAGATAAGGAAATTCAGAACACTGAATCAAAATCTGACCTATGATGATTCACAAAGGAAAGCTAAAGGGTTGGGTACAGTTTGTTACCTTTGAATCCAGAGATACCTCTCTGCTGTTCTCTGCAAGCCAGTGGTCATTTAGTAGGTCATCTGTTCATTACATTTGGTGCTGGGAAGGGATCACTCTTTGCAGGAAGAGGGGGCTGGAACACCATTTACTGGGAAGGTTGGGAGAAACCCTTGGACTACGTAATTGGGTAATTTGTGCTGCTTTGAGCAAGGAGGCAATGAGCATTCCACCTGCTGGTGATTCTGCTATTAGCGCTGCAAGCGCACATCCCCCTCCACCCAACCAGCAGATCACCCTGACCAGTATAAACGGTGAATGGTTTAGTGAGTGTTAAAAACACCATGAACATTATGTTTATTTCTCCAGCAGAATCTGTTTCTTTCACAGGCTTTCAGCTGCTGCTTTACTGAAGAGTGAAGTCTTTATTTCAGACATCTGCCTATAGAAAATAAGGATTTTTTTTTTTTAAGAGCACAATTAAAGATGAAAACTGAGGCTTGAATACCTTAATCAGCATACAAATTACACAGATATAAAAGTTCTCTTTCATTGTCTTAACTTACAGTTTATTTTGAACAGAATTCATTATGTTATACATCTAAGACTTATTATATTGTATAAATACCTTGGGTGTGATGTATATACATATTCAGTGTTATAGATTCAGCAATTAATGTATGCATTTCACAATACACTATAGTGTATTTCAATGTAGTGCACATGATTTATATTTCAGAAAAGAGCATATCCGCTATGAAAAATTGGTATTTCATTCATAGGGTACTCTACCTTGAAATACAGGGGTTCCATTGAATAATGGACTGTTCGTACTGTGTCGTATGGCTGTAAGATTTTCTTGTACATTCCCCAGCATGAATTAAGAAACAGCAGCTCAAAACGTTAATCTCTGTGGTTCTACGTCAAAAGGAGAGCAGGGCCCTGGTTTCCTAAGTTCCTTACATGACTGGGAAAGAAGGTGCAGACAAGCCACATGGAGCTGGGCTGTGCGTGATGGCCAACTGAAAGAAAACCTTCTGCACAGGTGAGAACTACCAGCTCTTGCTCCTCTGTTCTCTGTATATGCCAGTGTGCAGCTGCCATGTATCACTCTCACTACAAGAGGTGAGGTCTGGCATCAGCTTTATTCTTAAAGTTTGCAAACTCCCTTTGTTCCATTAATTCATTCTCTGCCCGGGTGTCTCCTGGTGTGGGAGCTGACAGTGCACACTGTCCTTCCTCAGCAGCTGGCAGAGAACTTCCGCACAGCATTTTCTCTAGATGTGCCATAAGTAAGATGCGCTGGGTTTGTTCAGTAGTAAATTACAGGTGTTGCTCTCCTGGGCACCTACTGAAGCATGATACTAATTAACCTGTCAGTGTAGTCTGGATTTTGTTTTTTAGGCAGTCCTGGTTTCCTGCATACATACATACATATGGAGCCTGTTGATCATGTGGCTACCTTTGCTTTGTACTCTCAAAAGCAGAGGCTCTTTTTAGCAGTGTATAAATGCTGTTCCTTTAACAGCAAAAAAGGAATATTATATATTCCATGAATAAAATATTTGATTTTTAAAAAAAGACACTGAAAACAGTTTAGGTGAATCAGAAAATTGTGGGTGTTTTAAAATAATTTTAAATTTACTTACATTTAAAGTATGTCATAATTTTGAAATTAAATTAAAGCTATTTAATTTTTAAAGGACTGATCAGCTCAGAACCATATTTTGCATTGAGTGTATTCATCTAAATTCTTTTCCTTTCAATTTTATAAGAAGTAGCATAAGCGCTTAAAGCAGCATAAATCCAGAATAACTGCTGTACTGGTGTTATTACTGTGAACAGAATTCTCTCTTCCCACCTCTTTTGGTTTTTTGTGTTGCCGTTTTTCCATGTAACAACTTGCATGTAACAACATGTGATGTAAAAAAAAAAAAAGGTTATATGAACTGCAGTTGCAGATTTTTTTCTCCTTGTTGTCAGATTTTGGTGGCTTCTAGCAATGACCACACTGCATATAGGGTTGTCCTTCTTCCACATACTTAGTGTGCAAGCCTGAGTGGACAGCCACTGGTAGGTACTACGGACAACCAGGGATTAGGCCTCAGGTACAAGTTCAAGGACAAACCAATAGGACAGTGGTGAGCATCTTCAGTCTTTCAAGCCCTAGTCCTTGAGAATTTCCTGACCAAGTAAATAAAGCTGTTGGTTTCCATTAGCTGTTAACGAGTCAAAGAGCAGCTCAGCACACCCACAAGGGCCCTGGGTCTTGGTGTGCCTTTGTGGCACTGACAGGAGAAGGTCAGCATCTACAGGTGTCCTGAGCCACAGTGCAGAAACAGGGCATGGAGTCCAGTACACTGCTGTGAGATCACAGTTCTGCTGGTGAACTGATGGTATGTGCTCAGGAAAATAGCTCTGCTGTTTGCCCTCTGGAACTGCCATCAGCAAGCTGTTCCCTCTGATTTCCAGACTAAACTTACTTGTGGTTGATATATATACTCATTTACTATTGTGCAAAACCCACTCTTGCTTTACACTTAGGCCACATACAAAATAACATGATGGAAAGAGATGTTAAACTCTAAAAAGGGATTTTTATGTTGCTAGTAATAAGGTTCATAGTAGGAATTAATATTTCCTTATGAGGTCTGGATCATTTAAAGAGGAGAGAACGCTTGTTAAACAACCCAAGATTTCATTTGACGCACAAGTGCTGCATCCCTTATGAAACAGAAGTATCTCTGTGCTCTATTATTTTCTCTACTTAAAATTAGATTATAACAGATGCCATCCCCTCACTATGCAGTTCAGCGCCAGCAAACGTAAGTCTCTCATCACTTAGCTAAGCCTGATGTTCTCACCTTCTAGACTCACCATTAAAATCTTCATACTTTGCAGCAGTTATGTTAAACCTGGTCCCAGTTATGGATTAGGCTGCAAATGCAGGATTTCCCGTGGTTAAGGTGGTCTCGTCTGTTCTAATAGCAGAACTGAATTACAAAATTCAAATCCTGTCCCGATCTACCTAAAAGATGGGAACTAAGTTATGTAAGGCAGTTGTAATTTGGATCTTGTGTTTATTGCACAGGATCCATCACAAGAACATGTGCTTTATTTTGTTAAGTATTATGTAAATCCTTTTTTTTTTCTAACCATGATTTTCAACTTGAGTCATCCTTCAGTAAAAAAACACACGTAATGCATATGAAGTGGCAGCTTTGAATCTCCAGCACATTTGCCTTGTTAAACTTGGGAATAGTCACTTTGTAATATGCCCAGTGTGTCTTTTCTTTCCTTCTTCCCTTTTTTAATGAAACATGGTGTAAAGTTTTTCTCTTTAATGTTTTCTTTACAGTCAGAGGTGTTTTAGACTAGGTCTGGGCATTAGCTGTC